CACAGATCTGACCTGTAACTTGGTCTGATTTGGTCTCAGTGATAATAGAAAAGTTTATTACTGAACTGTCAAACATTCCAGACTAGGGGTTTGCAAAAATGTTGAGATACTGATATATATCATATTGTTTAATGTGATGATGCAGTCTTGATTTCGTGGGCTGCTGTATCGATATATTGCCAAGAGTATTTTTTGGTGTATTTTACAAAATTATTTTGTTTTTGTTGCTTGTTTTCGAGGAAGGAAACTCCACACATTTCATTTTGTTTTGATAAGTGAAATGTGTGTGTTTTATATGAATTTTGCACAAGAAGTGGTTTAACAAAGATTTTTAGTATCACAGCCATGATTTAGCCTTTATTTTTTATTGAACCGTATCGAATCAATTTGAAATATATCGAATCGAAAGTGCACTGTCTCGAGATGTGTATCGTATCGTGGCCTATGTATCGAGGTATCATCTGCAGCTATCTGTCTTAATAATACCCAGCCCTATTCCAGACAACGCTACAATATCTCCACAGAGAAAATCATTTGAAAAAAAAAAAAACAAAAAAACCCAACTACCCCGAGGCTGTGTAAATCTGACCTCAGGCTGTAGTTGCCCTCTGGTTTGGTTTAGCCTCGAGATGACACCTGTTCACAACATCTGTAGATTCTCGGTGGATCTCTATGACAACATTTGTATGCCCACTTGGCCGCCTCAAGACCACTACCACCTCATTACAAAGCTTTAGAGAAGGACTAGTTCATTTTGTTGATGAGTTTTTTTCTCTCTTGTAAACAGTTAAGTGCTCTCAGGAGCTTTGCGTACTCGTGATCAGCGTTTTCAGAAGGAGGAAGCTCTAATTGCCCTGTGTGGGTTGTATTGTGAGTGTGAAAGACAATTAAACTAACATGGTTTTGAATGAGTGGGCGCTGGGCTCATTAGACATTGGTGATTTGCTTGTCAAGATAATTACAATATCGACTTATTGTTCAATATATGAAAGCTGGAACATCGTATTTCGGGGCTCAATATTTATTGTAGGTACTCTTTCCTTGCAATAGTGGGGAGATTTGAGAATTTTTATATAATATCATAACATTTAAGCTGTAGAGGGTAGAATTAATAAATGTTGCAGCTTATTATTGATTCATTCTGTCATTTGTTTGTTGCAGCTCAGCTTTGTAATGACCCTGTCTCTTTAAAAATGGTCTTACTGGGATTATCCTGCTTCGCTCTATTGCTCTATTCCACCTTGTGATGTCATGTAGTGGTAGTTTTGAAATTAGACAGCTATCTTTTACCTTTTGGTCAGTAGAGATGGGCAATTCCAGGTCTGAAATGATCCCAAATGGTTCTAGTGAAGGTGTATGGTTAAAAACACAGTGGAGCACTTCCTGGTGGAACAGAGTGGCTTCTGATTGAGAGAACATCTAAGAAGCCTAAATATGCAGGATGTGTGTATTAAACGTGTGAATGAAGCTGAACTCAACTCCAGGTGAAGAGAACATTACAACACTGTAGGCGTCACCAAAACAACAGAACATCTGAAAGTTTCCTCAAAGAGTTGAGATAATTCACAATAGCTGAGTAATCAAATAAAGCATTTTGTTAAGTTTAAGATGTATGTCAAATATTCAGAGTGTTTTTCTTAGCTTCTGAAAGTGCCCTCATAGTGTGAACAGCACATTTTCAAAAATTCATTTTGCAAAAACAAGGCAGAACACCAACACAAATTTTGGATATTAAAATGTCGATGTTGATTTTATGTTGGTGGGTACTGTTATTTTTTTGGCAAAACCTGGTAAAGATGGCACCAAATAGATTTTTTTTTTCCATTTAATATCTTGTAGAGTGTTCATCACTGAGGGTCAGTTTTAAAAACAGTGTACACAGCGTGTGTGGGAAGATGTATTTTCAGTATCAAACCTCTGTCTTTGAAATTGCACTCTCCACAGTCCTTCAAAGATGCCCTCAGATTTGAAGAGTAGAATTTTCGAGCAAATTCAAGCCCCCAGAAATCTGTGATAAATCAAAAGCACATGTGTAAAAGTCCAGATTCTACAAGTACATTAGCCAAATTTTAACCCTTGAAAATTTGAAGGACCGAGCTTAAATAAGTTTTTAGATACAGCAATCTCAAAGTGGCTCCTTGGACAACTCTGCTCAAAACAGATCAGGGGGGTAGTTGACAAAATAATTTTTAATGACAAAACTATAAGGAGTTAGGAGCTAAAATTTGTGACTTTTTGTGTGAACCTCCTTGAATTTTTTTCAGTCAAATCTGAATTGGTTGAGCGGGAGCATTTAGAGATTTGACGTGGAATAACCCGTAGATCAGAAAATTTTCGTAATATGGGGAGGCCCTTTGACTGCGTTTCTCATTTTTCTCATACATTTTGCATTGTCATTGTAAACATATCCTTCAAGGTTACACTAGTTCTTGTCCCTGAGCCAAAAGGTAATAGGAGCCACATTGGAGCGGTCCCAAAAGATGTCCTCTCTTTCTCGACAGCATCCGGCCACAGACAAAAGCCTTTGAATAGTCCCCCCTACACACTCCCCCGTTTACCCCTGCCTACCCCCCGTTCACCCCTCCCCACCCCCCGTCCCGCCACATTTTCATAACAATGGCCGCCTCCTCAGATGGGACACAAATTATAGGAGCGTCGCACGTGCACGTCCCAAACACAAAGCACTGGGCAAGGTGACATCAAGGTTTGTGGGTTTTTGTGCAGAATAAGGAGACGGGGCCTCTTCAGTCTCTCAGAAAGGATATATTCAACCACATTTGATTTATTGCAGCTGATGTCTGGTTTGCGCTCGTACATACAGTAGTTGTCTCTGGGGGCTGGGGAAGGCTTCCTATCTGTGCCCCAGGGAGATGATGAAAATGCATAGAAGAAATAAGGAATAGGGGACTTAATGTTGGAGAAAATCAAATGCATTTTCAGTGTATAAAAATGGATCATCCAATCAAAAAAGATATTTAAGTGTTCAGTTCTGTCACACTGGATAAACCTTCTGATAAAATAATGTATACAAGTATTTCACAAAGGGTTCTGTACGAATCTGACTCAAACAAAAGCTCATAAGAAACACAAATACTGTAATGGGGTAATTTAAGAAGCTGTTTCTCAGTTTCAAGACAATTCAAGGACACATATTACAATATTTTCTGATCTATAATGTTGCTTCTTCATTACAAATACCTGAAAATGTGTTTTTTTTCATTCACACGTTTAAGGTATCCAGTAATATGAAAACTACTCCTTCATAACATCACAAAGACAGAGCGTTTTGAGCTTTGGAGATGTAGACAGACTAATAATAAAGGATTACTCAAACATGTGTGAATGAAACAAAACTCCAAGTATGTTTTTGATGTGGAAATAGGGCTTTTCAACTAAATCTTTTTATTACCTTTTTGCATTCTAATATTTAAAGTGATTTTTCAAATTTATTTCCCAGGTGGCATAATAAAAATGGAATCCGATATCAAAACATATCTTCGAATCTCTTGTATTGTTGTCTTATTGCATGTATGGATCTATGTCCATACATGTAACATATTTCCATACACACTTTATTTTTAAATGCCAGATTGATTGACATTTGAGTGTTTATCTCCTATGGTTTCCTACTTTGCTTATCTATGAAATAAGGCACAAAATGTAACGCACAACATTTTGATAAAAGTCAAGAATGTTATCATCTGTGGTGGAAGGAAACGAAATACTAGTAGTAAAAAGGACCGTATTTAAGTAGAATTTTTAGGTATCTGTACTTTACTTAAGTACTTTTTACAGTGATACTTTTTACTTTTACTTCACTACATTTGAAAGCAGGTATCTCTACTTTCTACTCCAATACATTTCTGAACAGGACTAAGAAGTAAAAAGTTTTCATATGATATTAGGAGGGATTATTTTACCATTTGTGGTACTATCCTGACAACATTTTTTAATTCAAGCTTCGGCTTTGAGCAAATAAAAATAAATACACAAAATATATTAATATATAATATAATATAAGAAATATGTTTTTTTTTTTTTTTTATGAGTATCACTGCATTGAAAAAATAAACACTTAACTTGTGTGAAAAACTTTAGCTTTTTACTCTTAAAGTACTTTTTTAAACGGGTACTTTAATACTTTTATGTAAGTACATTCTTTCATGTGATACTTCTTACCTTTGTATCTGTACTTTTACTTAAGAGTACTTCCTTCCCCCACTTATCAGATGACTTTTGAAGAATTAGCTTTGTTACACCTGTCTGGTTCGTGGCTGCATATTTATTCACATTACCCTGAGGTCCTGATAAACAGCAGAGGGTGGGAGGGGTGAGTGATTGAAACGCCTGGGACAGGATTAGCATATTAATAGGACCTGGCTCCTCCTCCTCCTCCAGCAGCCTCTCCACTACCCTCTTGTCCCTCACTCACTTTTTGTAGCGCTCCTCTGTCCTTTCACTTCCCTTCAAACTCAAACAATTGTTGCTTCTTTCTCTCTCCACTCTGTTACTTGTTTTTCACTTTAACTTCTTGCCGAGTTTGCTAAGATGACAGCTTCGTAGCAAGCTTTATATGTTTTGGAAATCAGTGTATTTTCTTTTATACACTGGCTGACTGACTCAACTCTGGAGCTTGTTGGCAAAGGGACTCTCCTCTCTGCCTCTTTGAAATAGCTTGAACTCTCACCTAAGCGACCATCGAGATTTACTTTAACTTCCAAGGCAACTGGGTAACTACGGGGCGCTGGCATGGGGCAAAAATCAGACGCTTAGCCAATAGAGGGACATCCCAGGCAAGAAGGAGCGAAGAATTCGACCAAAAAGTTGGCAAGAAGTTGGTTGAGTTTTCGTATTTTACTGGATCTACGTTGAGCTATGGACCACGGCAAAAACTGAAGAAACTCTCGCTGTCTTTTAAGCTTTGTGTTGGATAACTTTTGCAAGAGACGGACAAAGCTGTTGACAAAATCTGCAGACGACAATTTATGCTTTGGAGACAGCGGTAGTTATTTTGGTTATGGGACAATTGCGCGAGGATCCCAGCTTTTGTTTGTTGACTTAACCTTTTTGGACAGCGATGAGGGTCTGTGAAACCACCGGTTGCCTGTCCGTTTTGGAAAGTGACAGATCCAGAGGAGGGAGGATGTGCGTTTCCATGGCGTCGGGTGGTTGTGGACAGTTCCTCATGTGCTGGGACAGAGGTATGAATGAAATCTTTATGGAGAAAAATGCTGGTTAGCGCTGGAGACGGGGACACCTGACTCCATGGCAACAGGGTAGACGTGTCTGACTGGTAAAAGTATGTGGTCGCTAAAGATTTGCACCACGTGATACTGGACGTTTCTCTCTCACTGTTTTTTTATTTTATTTTTGTGTGCAAATTACCTGTTGAACATACCCATACCCAGACTTTTAGAATGCTTTTTCTGACCTTAATTGCATAGTTATTTGCGTAATAACTATAGTATATTGCTTTGTCAGCTCTTCATGTTACCTGATGTGACTATGAATGTCATTGCAATACACATTTTGGGCTCCTCTTTGTATGGATAATTTCAGTATTTTACCCCTTCTTGGTTTTAATGGGAAATTTAGAAGAAGCTTAGAAGAAATACATTCTAAAAAGGGCCAAATTTACAACTTTCAGATCAGTACATTTTTTACAGGGAATTATTTGTGTGAAAATAGTTTTTTGATGAAGTGGTTCTAGTGCATTTATTGAGGTCTGTGCTTCAAGTGGTTCATTTCATAGCTATTGTTTCTGTTATGATCTTGTTAAAACATGAAGTTATGAAAGCAGAAACCAGATTACTTTATAATAATTATTTAAACGGCTTTTTTTTTTAAGAATTCTGATTATTTTCCCCTGATAAGACTAAAGACTTTACAGTTTCGCTTTTTAGTAGCAGTGTTACAGTAAACCAGCCCTCTCCAAGCATAATAAAAACACAATGAACTCAGGAAATGTGTCAGTGTCCGTGTTGTTTCACAGGAGAGCCACTTGTGTGCGTCTCATTGTCTCTGAACACATCGTGCTCTGAGCCTTGACCTGTCACACACTTCGCGTTCACTATCACATTGTTTGCTCCATTTCATCTTTGCCGATTCACGTCATACGAGCTCAAGAGATCTTTCCTTTGAAACCGGCCGTCATTAAATTATATTGTTTTGGAAAAATGAAGAGGATCTGAGTAAAACCAATTTGACTGGATGCATTCTTGTCATACCAGTTTTGTGTTATTCATATTCAGCCATTTAACTTAGACCAGAAAGCCGAGGTCATGTTTTGATTTGGAACTAATATCTGAAGTGACTAGAGTGCATAACATTTAATTGATCCATTTTATTTTAAAGGCATTATGTATCTTTTCCGGTGGAGAGGTTCCACCTTCATGTCACAGGGACCTTTTTATTCTGCTGTTTATTTCTGTTGAGTTCATTTCTGTGTTCTGTGTGTTTTCAGAATATGACCGACACCTAGCAGCAGCAGTGGCAGCAGGGAAGACCATGGCCACAGCTTACATGGAGCCCAACCTGAACCACACTTTCCTGGGGGGAGCCAAGTCACGTCTGAGCACGGGCGCGTCAGACCGGACTGCAGCTGGGTCTGTGTCTGGATCTGTGGACCGGGTCCTCAAAGTCTTCCACTTCCACGAGACCAACACGGAGCACAGCTGCTGGTACTCCAACATCCGCTATGGAGACGCCACAGATGTCAGGGTGAGGAACCACATCGATCTAGTAGAGACAAAATACAAAAAAAACATGCTAGGGTTGTCAAAACTAAGATGTGATACTAATCAACAGGGATGGAACAACAGAATCAACAACAAAGTCACTCGATACAATATTCTCATGATACGCATCTCACAGTTTGATTACTTTTTCCTATTATTATTATTATATTGTTATAATACGAAGAATTTAGATTTAAAACTGCTTAATAACAGATATTTCGTCATGTAGTCTGCACTGACAACACCAAAGGATCATGGTCTATGTAGTTCACTCTGTTTTTTAGTTACTGCTGCATCATAGCAAGGCAAGGTAAGTTTATTTGTATTGCATAATTTATACACGAAGTAATTCAAAGTACTTTACAGAATAAGAAAAACATTAAAATCACAGAGTAAGACATTACAATTACCATAACTATTAACTTAAGCAAAGAGACTTGTAATTCGATAAATTGTCATGGCCTCTGATATTATTTTGAGACTTCTGACGATACGATATCATGATATTTCGGTTATTGTTACATCCCTACTAATCAAAAGTAAAACTAGTATCAGAACCATAAAACTCATAAGCCAATACTTAAGTTTGTTCACACAAAGATAAAACACCATTATAGTTTAAATCGTCAATACTTATTCAATTATCATGAATAGTCTGACCTTCTTAAAACCAAAATGGGCAAGGGCCGAGATGAAAAACCACTCCAACAAAATGCCCCAGACTCCAGAAGAATGGCCATCAGTCGCGACCATCTGGGGCTAGTCGACAGCAGAGACAAAAGAGAAATAAAAATTAAATTATGTCAAATAACCGATTCTCTGCTTTGACCTGCTTTGGAAGGCTCTCTCATCCTCTCTTTCCTCACAGCTGCCAGTTCTTACAAAGGAACTAAACAAAAGACATTCGGGACAATTGAATCATACAATTTCTCTACATTATTTTCTTTCCTGCTTATCCAAACCAGCAAGAAAATATTTGGCTTTCCGAGTAACATAATATATAAACTGAATCCAATAGTGGAAAGAGTGCTGAAAAGTAGTACAAAAATGTATTACACTACAAGTACAAGTACGGTCTTTAAAGGTGCATTGTGTAACTTTTCTGGTGGAGGGTCCATCAAATGCTTTTCTCCATGGAGATGTCATTCCACAATATGGCATTAAAATGTTCTACCTTACATTTATTCAATTACAGGTGGTTTTATAGCTCAAAAAGACGGGGAACAGGGTTGTTTCTCCACAAGTCTGACCTGTCACTTGGTCTGGTTTGGTCTCCATGGAGATAGAAAGGTTTAATACCATACTGTGAAATATTCCAGACAAGCAATAACATAATGAAGAAAAGCATTTGACTGACCCTCTGTCAGAAAAGTTACACAATGCACCTTTAAACGTCCACTGCAACAGAACTGGAAACACTGTCTCACCATTGTTTGCTTATTAGCTCTTCATATCGACATTCAAAATCCATACAACATTTCAGGAAGTCGAGGATGTTTATTATGCTGTATAATAGACATGGCTTTTCCTGTACAGTCTGTTAGGCAGCACTCAATGTTGAAAGGAGCTTTATCCCTTACACAAGATTATTATTATTATTATTAAATTATTATTATTACATTCCTATATTATTGTTATCAAATTATTCGTATATAAAATTGACTCTTGTGAGCTTTAAGCCATGTTATAAAGCTGTTACCTCCTCAAAAACATACTTGGAGCTGTCAGATGAAGAAAAGAGGTAGAGCACTTCACTGAGTCATAAAAGAGATTAAAAAATAGCAGTACAGGTGCACTACGAGGGTTAAAACAGTAGTTTTTAAACAGAAAGTTGCCCTTACTGGAAAATGTTAAAGTGGGCAAGGCATAAAACTGAGGCACTCCAACTGATTATATTAAAAGTACTTTATTGCATGAAGGGACACCAACCCGTTTTGACCAGCAAGATGGTCTTCATCAGGGCAAAGTGGTGATTATAATATACCTGGAGTTGTGTTTTGTTTCATTCACAAACATTTGAATAACCATTTATTATTAGTTTGTTTATTATGATGATGATGATGATTGTTATTATTATTATTATTATTATTTCTACAATGCTCTGTTCCTCCGTGTGATGTCACGATGTGGTACTTTTAACGTTAAGCATTGACCTTTTATCTTTTGTTCAGTAGATTGGCAAGTCCAGTGCTACTGATGGTGTATGGTGCTTAAAAACACAGTGGAGCACTGTATTACCACATGACATCACAAGGTGGAACAGAGTGTTTTCTGTTTGAGAGAAGAACTCAGCCTAAATATGCAGAGTTTCAGTGTTAAAACATGTGTGAATGAAACAAAACATGACTCATGAAAACAAGTTTGTGATGAGGAAACAACTTTCTAACTTTATAAGAATTTAAAAGGAACCTACATGTTTAAAAAAAAAACTGATTCAGAACCAAGGTTATGGAGCGAAGCATCGCTGTGAAAGGAGTTAATTTATGGAGTAGTGTTGACAAAGATATAAAAGAATCATGCACAATAATGGCACTTAAAAAAAACATAAAATCAAGTGCAATGTGTATGTACGAAAACAGAAATCAAGTTGTTGTGCATAAAAGTGAAGATTTCTGTTTGAAATTGATTAATAATGAACTGAAATGTACTGATTTGAAATATTTAGTAACTATCAGTGTTGATGTGTTGTCTGAAAAAGGGAAAAGGGGGCAGATAACATAACATTACTCTTCTTTCTGCTCCTTTTCAATCATTTCTTGTATGTTTGATGTTGTGACACGGTTCATATCTTTTTATACTATATGAAATAAATACATAAAGAATAATAATAGAAAATAGATAGGAAAATAATGTAATATGGGCCCTTTGATACCACTGAATAAAACTACATTACAGTATATCAGCTTTTAGTATTCAAATCCCTAACCACATCGCTTCAAAGCTGGACCTCTATAAGTAATTCAAAAGGTGTGTATGTTTTTCTGCATGTCCTTTACTCAAGGTCCTAATGCCTTCTCCCATAAAGGACACTGGGTAAATTGAAAATGTTTTTCTAGTAAATGCATATATCCTTGAGCCATTCTGTCTGCACTGGTTTACTTAGCAGCATGATGCTTTTAGATGAAGTCCCAAGACTCGGATCTGTTCAAACTTTCAAAGGTCAAAAAGGAGAAGCTTATGTGCATTTGGCTCATATTCCTCTCTCCCTCTGCATCCCCTCTTTTTCATCCTTCGCCCTCTCTCTCCCTTGCCTCTTTTCATCCTTCATCTTCTCTCTCTCATTTCTACCTCTCCATAGATCAGAAAGTAGCTGAATATGGGCGCTTTAATACCAGTGAATGACTAAAATCCTCATAATAAAACTGCATTATAACATTCTATCTGCTTTTAGTGTTCAAATCCCTAACCACATTTCTTCAAAGCACTCTCTCCCTCTTCCTCTTCCTTTCTTCTTCAACCTTCATCCTCTCTCTCTCTCTCTTTCTCTCTCACTCTCTTATTTATTTTTCTCCCACTCTCTCTTTCTCTCTCTCCCTCTCCTTTTTCATCCTTTGTCCTCTCCCGTTCTCTTCTGATTTCTTCCTCTCTCTTTCCCTCTCCTCTTTTTATCCTTCGTCCTCTCTCTCTCCCTCTCTTTCTCTCTCTCTCTGTCTCTTCTTTTCATCCTTCGCCCTCTCTCCTCTCTCTCTGATTTCTTCCTCTCCCTCTCTTTCTCTCTTTCCCCCTCCTCTTTTTATTCTTCATCCTCTTTCTCTCTCTCTTTCTCACTCTCTTATTTATTTTTCTCAAACTCTCTCTTTCTCTCTCTCCCTCTCCTTTTTTCATCCTTTGTCCTCTCCCGTTCTCTTCTGATTTCTTCCTCTTCCTCTCTCTTTCCCTCTCCTCTTTTTATCCTTCGTCCTCTCTCTCTCCCTCTCTTTCTCTCTCTCTCTCTCTCTCTTTTCTCTCTCTTCTTTTCATCCTTCACCCTCTCTCCTCTGATTTCTTCCTCTCCCTCTCTTTCTCTCTTTCCCCCTCCTCTTTTTATTCCTCATCCTCTATCTCTCCCTCGCTTTTTCTCTCTCTCTCTCTGATTTCTTCCTTTCCCTCTCTCTCTTTCCCTCTCCTCTTTTTGTCCTTCATCCTCGCTCCCTCTCCTTTTTTTTCCTTCGTCCTCTCTCTCTTTCTCTCGCTCTCTCACTCTCTCACTCACCGATTTCTTCCTCTCCCTCTCTATCTCTTTCCCTCTCTTCTTTTCATCCTTCGCCCTCTGTATATAGGTCAGAGCCTCCAGTGCTTCTACCAGGGCACTGGGCGTATGTGTGTTTGTGTGTGTTTGTGTGTGTGATTTGTGTGTTTTGTGTATTTGATGTGTGTCAGGTTGTTTGGGTTGAGCGTCATTCGCTGGAGGTCACACACATCGTTTCTTCTGACCAAATGCAAACCGTCACCACAGTTTGCTAAAACGATACACACAGTTTCTATGTGTCGATGGTTAAAATATAGAGAAACATTGATTTATGCATGAGTTTGTTTGGATGTCCTTCTTTCTGGTGTTCTTACAAAATACCAGCTATATTTGTTGAAATGGAGTAGTAGTAACTCCAACTCCAGTTTCTCAATTTTCACACAATATTGACATGCCAGGAATATATTTTGATAATAATAATTTTAAAAATCTTTAAAAAAAAAAGTAACTACTGCAGTTTTTCAAGTTGGAATAAATAACAAAATAATAGGGCTGTGCAAAATTATTGAAATATTATGATGCTAAATTTGGTGATACAGTACCGATTTCCTGGACTGCTTTATCGCTATATCACCAAGAGTATTTTTTGGAATTTTTTTAGTAAATTATTTTGTAACAGTGCTACAGTTTTGTTGTTTGTTTAGTGTTAGGAAACTTTTTTATGCAATACACTTGATATATTCACTGTTTTGATGATTAAATTACATGTATTTCATATTAACTTAACAGAGTATTATATGCAGTATATCGATTATCACTTGTATTGCCATATTCTAATAATATGGTATTGTGAGCCATGTATCAGGTATCGTATGGAATCAAGAGGGACCCTATGATTCCCAGCTCTTCTAAATAAATAAACATTTACTTTGGTGGGAAAAAATTCATCTCTCATTTTAACTCATCTTTTCTGAGTTGAATTTAGAATTAAACCAAAGATGTAGACGCAAGAATGAAATCATCAAATTAAATTAAACAAAATTGTGTGCACTTTGTGTCTTCAGGGAATCATCCAGAAGATCCTGGACATCTACAAAGTGCGGTGGACGGCGTGTTTCGGGCTGCGCCTCAGTAACTCCTCCTGCAGGGACCAGGTGCACTGGCTGCACCCGGACCTGGGCGTGTCCCATGTGAGGGAGAAGTACGAGCAGGCCCGCCAGAACGAGGAGTGGAGGTGCACAACCGATCCGCCATTATTATTATACATGTTTCCAATTTATGTTTAGCTATTTTTAGTGAATTGTGCAACTTTGGAGTCCACTACCTGCTTGTCTTCATGGAGATGTTATTGCTTTCCTTGAAATGTTCCATGGTATGACATTAAACATTTCCATCTAGAATATTATATCACTCAAAAATACAGTAATTTCTTCTTTGAATAGGCGCGATTCTCCACAGATCTGAATTGTAATGTAGCGTAATACTGTAACCTGCTCGTCTCCCTCGTGATAGATCAGTTTAATCTTGTGGTTCAATCTACCATGGAACATTCGAGACAAAGCAATAACATTTCCAAAAGTTGGACTTCATTCATGTTGGAACATAAGGCACCTGCTTATGTCTCCATAGAGATGTTATTGGCTTCCCTGCCTGGAATGGCCATTACAGTTTTCTATCTTGCATTTATTCATCTACAGCTGTTTTAACTGCTTAAAGAACGACATCCGGCCAGTGACTTTGTTGGAGCTGCTTCTTTTCTCCATGGACATAGAGAGAAGTAAAAGTTTAAAGTTCTTGTAAAATACAGTTTATTAGATTATTATACAAGATTAATATATTTAAGATTTTACACAAAACTTTACATTCTCCACCTAATTTGGCAATATTTTATTTGCAAAATTTGACTTCCTCGTTGTAAATCATGACATGGCACTAGGGAATTGCATAACTGTTACCTAGCAACCATAGTGTACACTGGGCCAGAAAACACAAAATACACAAAAATTATTATTTGACATATAAAATGATAAGAAAACATGTTTAGTTTGTTGAGATAATGTTTAAAGTATCAGTAAAATGTGTTTCTTGTGTAAACTGTGCTGAACTTTTGGATAGAATTAATAATGTAATATCATCAGTGTGGGAGTCTCTAAAACAGAACTCTCTACTTCCTGTAGATTTCAACATATTTTTTCTTTTACCTCACAAACTGCTTCTTGATTGGTGTAAAACTATAATTTATATTTACAACAGGTATTATCTCACCAAAGTAAGTAAGAAATTAGAGAATCGTCAAAACTGGTCCTACACACTTTAATGCCATATTGAGGAACAGGCAAAGCGATAATATATCTGTGGAGACAAGCAACTGATCCTACATCAGAAAAGTTATACTGCACTTTTTTTTAAGTTTTTCTTTCATTTTATTTTCTGTAACTTGTTCAGATGCAGAATTTTCAAACCATTGCTTGTGCTGTCCTATTCAGCAAGTGCTCATTACCCATGGTGGAAGGTAACAAAGTACAAAAGTAAAAGTACAATACTTAAATAGACATTTTAGGTATATGTATTTTACCCAAGTACATTTTACAGTGGATACTTTTTACTTTTACTTCACTACATTTGAGAGCAGGTATCTGTACTTTCTACACCACTACATTTTAGATCTGGACTGAAAAGTAAAAGTACTTTTTTATGGTTTGAGACCTGCTTATTTTTTTTATAGTACATTTGATTTGAATTTCCATGCCAACTTTGAGCAAGTGAAAGCGCAAAAACACAAAAACAGCTTGAAAAAATCAGATGAATCACTTAAAGTCAGCTAAATTCTTTATCAAAATCATTACATTTCTTTAATTGTTCTAAAAATCTCTGCAAAACACTTTTACTTTTTACCCTTTAAATACATTTTTAAAGTGGTACTTTAATATTTTTACTAAAGTAGATTTTTCATGACATACTTTTGCTTGTACTTGAGTAGCATTTTACCTTTGTATTTGTACTTCTACTTTAGTAACATAATTGAGTACTTCATCCACCGCTGCTCTTTACTTATTTGGTAACTTTTTTAGACACTGTCTCTCTTTCCCTCTCGTCTTTTTCATCCTTCATCCTCTTTCTCTCTCATTTCTTCTTGTCCTTGTGTCTGTACTGTTACTTAAGTAAGAAAAATTGAGCACTTCATCCACCACTGGTCATTACTTATTTGGTAAATTTTGGAGACACTTCTTTTACATCTTGTGCAGTCTGCCCGTTGTCTGTGTAAGTATCTGAAGTGTTCATCTGTTGAAGGCTTCATGAGAAACGTCCCCAGTGTTTATCATATGTAGATGGGCTCAGTGTGTGTGTGGCTGGTGAGCAGTGCAGTTAATATGCAAATTAAGTGTTGTATATTACATTTATTGTTTTGGTTTGGCACTAATGCTATTCAAGGGTCGAGATCTTTAGCTTTGTGAACATAACGGCAGAGACAACCAGATGCCTGCTTTGTCTGATAATGTCAACACCGCCTGTCCCTTTAGTCTAGAGCTTTTTGAGTTTTCCATCTGTGTTTGTATCACTGACAAGAAAAGACTAATATGCCATTCTAGGAAAAGACAGTAATAGCTATAGTAGGAGCAGTAGTAGTAGTAGTAGTTGTAGTAGTAGTAGTAACGATATCCAAATCTCTCAGCACAATATTTTCACGACATACATCTCACAGTACGATATTTATTAAGATATTTTGTGGAGGTAAACAAAACTGCAAATATGCTACTTTTTCCTTTTAAATGCCTTGACAAGACTTAATCCAAAGAACTAAGATTTAAAAGTTAAAACGGTTATTTCTTCATGTACTCTGCGTTGAATCAGAGCAAAGGATCATTGTCGATGTAGTTCCCTCTGTTTCTTTTAGCTATTGCTGCGTCATAACTCTTTAATTTAAGCAAAGAGACTTGTAATTCAATATATTGTGATGACCTACGATATTATTATGAGACTTTTTGACGTTATGATTTTAGTAGTAGCAGTAGTAGTTGTAGTAGTAGCAGTAGTTGCAGTTGTAGTGGTTGTTGTAGCAGGATTGCGCAATTAATAAAATGTTATTTTTAGAGATTGTGATTCCTTTATTTCTAACCTTCACTGACCTGATTGGTTCTTTATTACTGAAAGCTCTACTGCCAATTCTCGGTCATAAATCCATGTTGTTTTGAGCCATTTGAAAGGCATAGTCAGTAGGAATGCAGAAATGCGTTCAGTCAATGTCTGTTCAATCAATATCCTATTTTGGTCTATAAACTTGGAGATAAAATAAGGCGATTTACTGGACAGTGTTGGCATCTAGTAATATTTTTCAAAGTTGTTTGGTACTTGTACTGTTATTTAAAATGACAAATAACAGTTACAAAACACATTTGGATATTTTTTGTCATGTGTGCCGTGTGTTTAAAAGAAGTAAATTATAGTGTTACTTTATTTAGTCTCTGACCTACTACTGGCTTATATCAGGTATCAGCAGATATGTTAAATTTTTGGTTCAGGGTCTGTCACCTGTCTTTGGATATGTCCCCTCTCAAAAATATAGCTCAAAAATATCTTGAAAAACAGGCATTCTGACTGTGCGAGGGGGTCGCCTCTCCACAAATCTGAGCTGTAATGTGGTCCAGTTTGGTCTCCATGAAGATAGAAAGGTTTAATACTATACTGTGAAACATCCCAGACAAAGCAATAACATCTCCATGAAGAAAAGCATTTGACGAACCCTCCAAAAGCAGAGTTACACAAGGCACCTTTAACGCCCCAGTATCGTCATTAGTAGCGGGAAAAAAAAGTTGGATCAGTGCAACCATAATAGTCCGTCAAGTTTGTTTTGTTATAGTTGTCGTAGTTATTGTACTTAGGATTGGTTGGGTGACAATGATTGGTGATAAGGATCATGTGAATCAACGTGTACCAGAATTAAAACCTGTTTAAAATCCTTGTAGCCTTCTCAGACTGTCGCTTTTGCTCTGTGTCCCCACTCTGACTCGCTCTTACTATGCTAATAATTCTTCTTGTTTGATTTTTTTCTCCTTTCTAGGTATGAACTGAGGATCCGATATCTTCCAAAGGGTTTTATCCAGCAGTTTACAGAAGACAAACCCACACTGAACTACTTCTATCATCAGGTTTGTACACATACACACTCATACACACACAACACTTACTCACACTTGCACAAAGAGACCAGACGCTCGGACCACTTCTCCATATTTCATCTTGAGCCTGGAGCCAGTGCTAAACATATGTCATTGCTCAAAGACTGGGTTGTTTTCAAGGTATTCTGGGTCATAGAGGGTCTGTCTGTGTCTGTGTATTTACAGTGTATTTCTGACTCACAGGATTAACGATTGTTCAAGTCGATGTTTTATAATTATGTTCCTGTGTTTGTAGGTGAAATACGACTACATGACAGAGATCGGAGATAAAGTGGAGCAGGATGTAGCTCTCAAACTCGGCTGCTTAGAAATCAGGTGACGACTTTGATTCTAATTGATTATAATTATAACATTCATTTTGAAGTGAAGGGAGTAGTGCTTCTTCTTTTTCCTTAAAGTCCTTGATCAGTTTGATTTCGCAGTTACATTTTTGAGTGATATGACTAACCTGCACTGGAAGAAAACTTTTAATCTAGCTGTCAAAGACATATTTATAAAAGCTTACAAATTGTCTGTTTTGTAAATAAAATTAATCATATTTTTGTATCTATATATTGGAGGTAGATTCAAGTATAATTATTTAGTATGAAGTAGGCTGAACTAAATATGTTGTATGTATTGTGCATTTCAGGAGGTTCTACAAAGAAATGAGAGGCAACGCTTTGGACAAGAAATCCAACTATGAACTACTAGAGTAAGTACCACAGTATTTCCCAATTGTTGCCTGTTTACCATTAGTTTTTATTTATTTTGGACAAAACATTCATCTACAGATAGTCCCAAACAATCTTTGTGCACTCATAAACTTACATAAAAAGATGAAGAGGAAATAAAGAAGTGTATAAAGAAGTGGACTATAAAGGGAGTGTGACATCACTCACAACATTCAGCTCCAGTCAAATGAAGCTCATTGACACTTGCAGTTATGGGACAAATTTGGAGCCAAGTCCTGTATTTTTAATTCAGACTGCGAGTATTATAGCAACCAAAGAGCCAATCCGGGGCTAGGCTGTTGAAGATAATTCCTCTTCCCACCTGCACCGCTGGTTTAGCAGTCAGCAGGCATGGATCTATAATAAAAACTCGATAAGACCTCTGTCCCGGGTTGAGACAGACTAGTGACCGCTTCAGGTACTGCAGCTCCCATGAGCTTGGACCCACAAATAATTCTCTCATAGAAGCCCAATGCATTTTTTGGGAATTCAGACTGCCTGTGTTCGGCTGAGAGGGCACTGACAAATTTCACAAAGGTCGGATTTTGTAGGGATTCTTTTCTATTTTCACAACATAAACTTTAAAAAGTGTTTAAATCCTCAAAGCACCTAAAATTTAGCTTTGTAAGAGTTAGCCTAGCACCGCTCTGAGCTCACACTAGCTCTGCTCTGGCAGCTCTCGCTCTCATTGGTCCAAACGCTCCACGCCATGCATGTTACAGACGTCACACAGTTATTTTTTTGGGCCCATGCGCCACTGAGCACACGCCACTGAAAACAATACAGCACCATCTTGGATTCATTTTCCAGATTTTATTATAGTTCTATGTCAGCAGGTGGTTAGTAACGCTGTCAATCAAACCTGTTACTAATCCTAGCCACCTCTGGGAAAGCATGCACCTGATTGGTCTGTTATCAATGTTCATATCTAAATAAAAACATCTGGATCATGTGGAGCGGGTTTATATGAACACTTTAAGAGCAAAATGACGAGGCTCACTGCAGCAGTTACAGAGAGAGGGCGACAATTGTTCAATGTAAAGTCAATTGGAGCCAGAGTCGATGGAGCCGATAGCTGTGTCCATTTATAGCCAGTCAAAACTAATCTGAGAAAGAAACTGAAAAGAAGTATAATTTGTAAATATATAATTATTTTTTCTACAGAACAAGAATTTGAAAAAAGCACTTACCCCAACCAGGGCCAAAAAGAGCTGGTTGAGGCTCATGATTCACTTGGCGTTTGAAATCTGTTCTCACTCTGAAGATGTTTGGAAAGCGTTTACTCAGGTCACTCATGTATTGGCAGCTCAGCCTGGGTTATCTCCTCATTAGCTTTGATTTGATCCTCTATCGGCTTCCTGCTTGTCACGGCGCAAGTCTTAACAAGGCTTTTCTCTGACACTGTTGGTTTTTAATGAGTGTCCTGAATTTGAAGACCTGTATCCATCAGCCTAACGAGTTTTCCAATTAACTGAAAGTACACTCTGATGTCTCCATTGTTCCCCTTGTCCCAGTCCGTTTCTCCTGTTTTTTCCTGTCTTTGTCTCCCCGGCCTCTTTCCTCTGTTGATTGGAAACGCTGTTGTGTCATGCATATTTTACGCAGACAAGAGGACGGTTCGGAGAGAGCCTTTGGGAGTGTGAAATGCTGGGCCAACCGGAACAAATGGGACGTGTTGCTTTCATGGCAGAGATGTAGGCATGGGACGACAATAAAATTTGGTGTCAGGATTATCAACGATTAACGATAATATCACGATAATTATCAAAGTTGCTGACAGTTTAAAAACGTCATGGATATGAATAATTAGAATTTTAATGTTATGAATAAGTTCCATGTTTAAACAACTTATATAATTGTACTTATAAGTAGGGATGTAACGATATCCAAATCTCTCGGTACGATATTATCACGATATGCATCTCACGGTACGATATTTATTACGATATTTTGGAGAGGCTGATATGATTGTAGATAGGACACTTTTTTGCTTTTTTTTTTTGGTGTGAATTATTTCCATCGTAATCCCAAGAATTCAAGTAAAAACATATTTCTTCATATTTTCTGCACTGAAATGAATCATGGGATATGTAGTTCTTTATATTCACAAGCTGTTGCTACTATAAAACAATACGTTTAAGTAAAGGAACAATACATTTAAGCAAAGGAACTTTAATTCGATATACTGTGACAGCCCACGATATTATTGTGAGACTTTTGACGATACGATATCACGATATTTCGGTTACTGTTACATCCCTACTTTTAAGTGAAAACAACTACGATCTCGCAGAGGTCATGATGGAAAACGAGCTTTTCTCTACACATTTTCATGATACAATGGCAATTATATTTGTTGGAGATTATCACAATTATATAAAATGTTCCACAATTAATTATTGTCTGCCCTTTTTATCATGATACACGATATTATTGTTTATTGCCCCATCCCTACAGAGATGTCCAGTACCCTTTTACTCCTCGCCAAAAATGACAAAAGTGAAGAAGGCTGTTGACTTGTTAGCAAAATTATCTGAAATATAAAGTCTGTCTACGCCAAAGCTAAATTCTTTCTTCCTGTCCATCATGGTGTAATATAGAGATGCACCGTTCCAGCTTTTTCAATTCCTATGACGATATTTTGACTTTCAGTACCCGATATTAACCAATAAGAGTGTAGAGATGGAAACTGGCACTGATTTTCTTAAAACACAGTTAACTTATTAACATTTTACACATGAGATCAATCAGTTTATCCTTCAAATAATTACTGGACAACTCTGTAAGAATAAAAGTTCAAACATTATGAAACATTGTAGGCCAAAATGAGCCTGTAAATAGTCGTATTATTACATACAATTGAAGGCCCAACCAGGATCTGTGCTTAACCAATCGGTACTGGTGCATCCTTACTGTTAAAGATATTATTTTATTGACTTTATTCACTAGAACTTGTGCACTATAAACATTTGATACAAGTTGAAACATTAAACCTAACACTGTGCCAATGCAAATGCAAATGCCATGGACATTTTTAATACTGTATTTTAGACACCAAATGTATCTGAAATATATGCTGTGTTTTTATGTTTCTCTCACAAACCTTTGATAGAAACATTCGCTTTGGCAGTGGTGAGATGACGTAACTGCTTTCTTGTTACTATTTCTCGGGCTCCCTGAACTTTTCCTCTGAGGATTTTGAGTCATTAGAGCACTTCCTGTTTTAGCCTACTCCTCTCTGTGTCTGTGCTCTCCCTTTTGAACCCACCCCTCTGTCTCTGTCTCACTCTCTCCCTCTCTTTCTGTGTCTCTCTCACTCCCTCGCTCTCTTGCGCTCTTTTATTTAGCCTCTTCTCTTCAGCTGAGTCTTTGGGGAAAACATGACTTGCGCTTTACTCAGTATTAGGTCATAGCTTTTTCGTTATAACTCTTTCTCATAAACAGACTTTATATCTGCCTGACTGCACTGTCGAAATGCCCGTGCTTTGTACATGAAGAGGAAAATGAAATGAGATAAAACATAATTACTTGTGAATTAACATTCCTCTGTGTAATTACAGCAATAAACACACCGCCTTCTCTCCTCTGTTTCTCTTTGCAGAAAAGATGTGGGTTTGAGACGATTTTTCCCCAAAGAGCTTCTGGATTCAGTCAAGGTGAGGACAGTGCACTTCTGACGAAACTTGTGAAATATAAAAAGTTACTGTGGTCCAATAAAAGCTCTTTGTTGGAGACGTTATTAATTACAAATATATAGAAACTTCTGATGTTGGTTCATGAACATTCATTACATACAATACACGTTTCTACTGACAACAAGAGGCTTTTTACCCAGTGGTCGGCATAAGGTGTTTCCAACCTGATTTAGCTTGTTATTGATTAAGCAATATGGTGTGTTTGTTTGCAATTTAAAGGTGCACTATGTAACTTTTCAGGGTCCGATATGTCATTGCTCTGCCTGTAATGTTCCACAGTATGACATTAAACAGCTCTACCATGCATTTATTAAATTACAGATGGTTTTAAAGCTCAAAAATTGCTAGAAAAATAGGCATTCTGGCTGTGAGTGGGATTGCCTCTCCATAGATCTGACCTCTAACTTGGTCTGAATTGGTCTCCATGAAGATAGAAATGTTTAATACCATACAAAGCATAACATGTCACAACATTATATTCATCAAAATTATTTATTTGAAGTCTTTGTAGTGGATCTAACTAGGATTTTTATTGTCAGTGTCTTGCCATAAGCTTTGTGGTTAAAGTGACGCCACGTAACTTTCAGGTTTTATACCTTACTGTGGAATATTATTGTAAAAATAACAACATTTTCATGCAGGCAAGCGAGATGAGGCCCAAGTAAGAGTCAGCCTAATCAGAAAAAGTGTTTATATGTTTTTTTATATATTTTAAGTGGGATTTTAATTTGAACTACTTTTTAATTACACAAAGAGAGTTTAAGGTCCTGTTATACTGTTGTTCCCTAATCAAAAGCATACCCAGAGTTGTGTTTTGTTCCATTCACACATTTGAGTAATCCTGCATTATTAGTCTGTCTACATCTCCAAAGCTCAAAATGTTCTGTTCGTGAAGTGGTAGTTTTCAAGTTAACAGCTCCTTTTACCTTTTTTTAAGTGGAAATCGGCAGTATCCAGCTTGAAATCATCAAAATTATTCTAGTGAAGGTGTATGGAGTTTAAAAACACAGTCGAGCACTTCCTATATCATCACAGTTTGAGAGAAGAACTCAACCCCAGGTCTGTTTTTGATGAGGAAACAACATTATAACATGAATCAGAAATCTTTAATCTTTGGTATCTAAAATAGTTTGACTCCTAGTTTAGGACTATCATTAGCTGTTGGGGTCTGCTGCCTGGGGCCCTTGCATAATGAGCGGAGTGTGTGTCAGTGATAAATTTATGGCACGTGTTTCTGGGGCCGGTTTGTTTGGAGCAGGTTTGATGAAGAGAAAGACCCACTGACCCCCAGAGTTGTGCGTGTCAGCGGGCGGGCGACAGCTGCTCTGCACAGGGAGATGAGCGTGAATATGGGTGAAACCTCGGGGTCATGTCTAAACCCACTTTCTTTACCGGCACAATGAGGAGGGAGGGGGAGGATGGAGGAGGAGGAGGAGGTGCACACGAGCCCCTCTCTGTCTGTCATGTTCGACTGACGGGATATATGTCAACTGCCCATCGGTCTTATTGCGGTTGGTCCTTTGGCAAATATTCAGCTGTGTTTTTTTATTACATGAGGCTATATAATATAAAAGGGGGGACGACTGCAAATACTAGGAAGTGGTGGAAGAAGTACTCCATTTTGTTACTTGAGTAAAAGCCCAGATACCGGAGCAAAAAAATATTCAAGTTAAAGTATCACTTGAAAAAAACGACTAAAAGTATTAAAGTACCCATTTAAGAATTTACTTAAAGAGTAAAAAGTATTTTGCACAGATTCTGAGATCGAATAAAGCTTCAAATGTAGGGATTTTGATACAGATTTGTGTTGAATTTTGTTCAGCAGAAACAACTGAATCAAGTTTTTTCTAGCTGTTTTAAATTTTTTGTGTATTTTTGTTTGCTCAGACTACAAATGTGTTAAAAATAAAGCCCTCAGCCTTTTCATTAGCTCTCAAACGATAATAATAATACTTTTCTTTCAGTCTAGTTAAAAAAATATAGTGGACTAGAAAGTACCATCTCTCAAATGTAGAAAAGCAAGTATGTACTTTACTACTTTTAGTACAGTACTTTACTACATAAGCGCTTTGTGTTGCATTTTTGTATGAAAAGCGCTCTATAAATTAAGTTTGGTTAGATTTTTTTGATTTGATACTTCATTACGTTCACCACTGTTAATATGTTGTAGCCTATGTGATAAATGACAAAAAAGATTCAGCGTATTATATACCAAATTGATATTATTCATAATACACTTGTATAACACTATAAAATAATATAATATTGTGTGTAAGATGACTGAAAATAAAAGAGAAAAGAAAAGATCCTCCATCCAGCTGTAGTATTCCTGACCAAACCTGGCTCAAGATCTGCTCATCTGTTTAAATAATTTAAGAAGTCAAGTTTCTAGTGTCTATATTTATTAAAAAGTTAATAAATTTCTAGTAATAGATGTTTTTTTTGACCTCCTTTTGTTACGATTAAGTCCTAACACAGACGAGGTTCTGTTACTGTTCAGGGTCGTGTCCTGAGTGAACATAATATTGGTTTAAAGCTGTTCGGTGTCCAGCGCTGAGAGGAGCACATCTGGTGTTTCTGTGGCACTGAAGCGATGGAGGGAGGAATAGAGAGGGAGGAGGAGAGAGACATAGGGTGAATGACAAAAAGAGAAAGGCGAGATTGAGAAAGAAAGAGAGGAAATCAGAGGGGGTGGGGAGAGAGACGGAGTAGATGGGGAGGGAAAAAAAGAGAGAAGAAAGACTGTAGGAATAGTGTAGGTGGAGAGAGAAATAAGGACAGAAAAAGATGTAAGAGGAGAGTGAGAGAGAGAACCAGAAGGGAGCAAAGAGAAAGAGAGGAAAGGAGCGGGGACGGTGAGAAAGACAGAGTAGGTCTAGAGAGAAAAAGAGAGAAGGAAAGACTAAGAAAAGGAGGAGAGGGAGAGAGATAGGAAGGACCAAAAAGATGTGAGAGAGGAGAGTGAGGGAGAAAAAAGCGAGAGAGGAGAAGGGAGCAAAGAGAAAGAGAGGAAAGGAGAGGGGATGAGGAGAGAGACAGTAGGTTGAGAGAGAAAAAGAGAAGAATGACTGAAAAAAGGAGGTGAGGGAGAGAAAAAAGAGAGAGAATGAGAGAGTACGGGGGGGCAAAGAGGAAAGGAGAGGGGATGGGATTGGGAGAGACAGTAGGTTGAGAGAGAAAGAGAAAGAAGGACTGAAAAAAAGGTGAGGAAGAGAGATAGGAAGGACAGAAAAGATGCAAGAGGCAAGAGTGAGGGAGAGAAAAAAAGAACAAGAGCATACGAGGCGGCAAAGAGAAAGAGAGGAAAGGAGAGAGGATGGGAGAGAGACAGTAGGTCGAGAGGGGAAAACAGAGAGAGATAATGATAAAGGAGGCGAGGGATAGGAAGGACTGAAAAGATATGAGAGAGGAGAGTGAGGGAAAGAAAAGAAAGAGAGAGCGAGAGAGGAAGAAGGGGCAAAGAGAAAGAGAGGAAAGGAGAGGGGATGAGGAGAAAGACAGTAGGTTGAGAGAGAAAAAGAAAGACTGAAAAAGGAGGTGAGGAAGAGGAGAGTAAGAGAGTGTAAAAAGAGAAGAAGCAAGAGAGGAAGGATGGGGCAAAGTGAAAGAGAGGAAAGGAGAGGGGATTGGGAAAGGCAGAGTAGGTCAAGGGAGGGAAAAAAAGAGTAAAAAGGAGGTGAGGGAGAGAAAAAAGAGAAGAAGCAAGAGAGGAGAAGGGGGCAAAGTGAACGAGAGGAAAGGAGAGGGGATGAGGAGAGAGACAGACTGAAAAAGACTGTAATGGAGTGGGATAGAAAGGACAGAAAAGAGAGAGAGTGAGAGTAAGAGAGGAGTGAGGGAGAGAAAAAAGAGAGCGAGAGAGGAAGAAGGGGGTAAAGAGAAAGAAAGGAAAGGAGAGGGAATGAGGAGAGAGACACTGAAAAAAGAAAGCGGTTGAAAGGGATAGGAAGGACGGAAAAGATGTGAGAGAGGAAAATGAGAGAGAGAAAAGAGAGAAAGAGAGAGAGGAGGAGGGGGCAAAGAGAAAAAGAGAAATAGAGAGAGAGAGAGAGAGAGGGAGAGATGGAGGGCACAGCTGTCATCTACGTGGTGTGGCCCGGGCTGTTTTAAGTGAGGGGTAGTCCTTTAATGGGATTATTCTCTCTCAATGGACTGACACATGTGCTCACAGTGGACACAGGGACCCAGGAGCAGATGGCTGGGGTAGTAAACTGTGACTGATGTTAGAGCGAGGCCAGTTTAATAAAGAAAACCAGAATATGTTCGTTTATATTGACGAGCTGGTCCCCAGGTTTGGGTTAATCGACCTTTGACCTCTCAGTAATCATAGTTTGATCAATCATATGTCCTGCCACAGTGTTTTCCGTTAATAGAAGAGACGACAGTGGCCCCCACATATTCTAAAACCTTCCCCCATAGTGTAAAAAGAATGAACTAAACACTGGCATCTTTAAATCCAGGGTTCCCACAGTCATGGAAATCCTGGAAAAGTCATGGAAATTGAAAATGTCAGTGTAAATTCAATGAAAGTTCTGGAAAAGTCATGGAATTTTAGTATCTCTTCCACACAACTACAGCGTTCTGTAGTGCAATACGTAACTTCTAAGCTTGCTTGTCTCCATGGAGATGTTATTTCTTTGCATGGAATGTTCCACATTAAGGCATTAACCAAATCTCCCCTGCATTTGTTCAATTACAGGTGTTTTATAGCTTAAAAACACCTTAAAAAGTATACATTTTTGCTTCTCCATAGATCTGACCATTCACCTGTCTCCACTGTGATTATCAAGTTTATTTCCATACTGTGGAAGGTTTTAGACAAAGCAGTAACATTTCCATGGAGATCAGGTGGCGGACCCTCCACTAGAAATGAAATTGTCTGAAAATGTTTCACAGAGTGGTATCAAACCTTTCTGTCTTCATGGACACTAAACCAGACCAAGTTATAAGTCAGATCTGTGGAGAGGCAACCCCACTCACAGTCAAAATTTTACAATGTGTTTTTTAATTACAAATGTGAACCAAATTACAAAATAAATAAGGGGTAAAAATCATTGAATGAGATGGTGTATCCACACCTTCGACTGGTAGTGTATGTGTAACTGTTTGAGTATAAATAACAAACAAAAAAAAGCCCCAGTGAAGTGACATAACTGCCTGGCTTGTCTCCATAGCAACGGCCTGTGCACTTCCTGTCCTTCAGGATGGGTGGGCATCTCCTTGTTTCCATAGAGCTTTGGGAGAGTGTTTGTTTGTGTGTGTATGGATGTGGAGGAATTTCAAAACTGCAGGAATGGCCTTAGATGAGAGCACATTTTTGGTGTAATTATCTGGAATCAGGAAGTGACGATCAAACTCAGATACCAGACAAAGAGGGGCATTGTCCATCTCCTGACTCCTTATAAGTCAGTTTTATTACTCCCAATTTTGTACTTACTCTAGCATATTATTCATTTTCAGTATTTATAGTTGCATTTACTGGCAGTGATATTAAAATTATCTTGACTTTTTTTTTTCTTTACTACATAATTCCATATATCTTACTTCATATATTTGATGTCTTTTGTTTGTATATAAAATGTAGAAAGTAGGAAAAAACATTACAGCTTCGTTAGACTTTCAGTTATCAGTAATGAAATCAGGGAGGTTAGTTATAACAATTATTTGAGGTTGTAAAAATGTCCCTACAAACATATAGCTTGATTCATCAGCCGGTTTCACTTTGTGGAAACCATCTGACCTCGCAGCGTTAGGATTTGTTCACTCGACGGTAGGTTGGTACTTTTTTATTTAACCAATCGCTGCTATTTGGTCGTGACGTATGTAATGCGCTGCAAAGGGGGCCAAATGGTATATTAAGCTTTTCCCAAATCCCGTAGGAAGAAGTTCAATAACGTCTTTCCCCTTGATAAAATTCACCAAACATTCTCTTTAAATTCGCTTTAAATCCTCGATCTCGGGAATCTTTGCCAACACAGAATATCTGGCTCTTTGCTGATTGGCTGGTGCCCAAACTCGCACTTCCAGGGTTTTTGCAAACTGTCTAGTGTATTCTGATTCCTGACCTACTCGCTAGAGAGAAATTAAATTGAGCGGAGGCATTAGGTGGAACCAGCCAGGCTAACAAACATACTCTCAGAGAAATACTCACTATACCTACTATATATTACAGTTTTGTATAGCTGCTGTACTCTTTGTGTGTGAGTGAGCCAGGGCATCTGACTTAAAAGGAATGCATGCTATGAGGCAGGTCCTACTCATGTCAACCAAGACTTGAAAGTAGATTTGCCTACCAGAGAAATATATATAAGAACAGCTATAACTTTGTGCTGTCTAAAATTGTGAATATGAAGAGCCCTTTTTAGACCATGCAGTGACTAATTAGGACTTTTTTTTTGTCCATGAATCCATTGGAGAACTCTGAACTCTGCACTGTGAACTGTGAAAAGGCTCATTTACTTTGGTCACATGCCCTTAATACACTGTACAACTGTAAATCTGTGTTTTTAAACCCGCTCTGCTCTTAATCTGCGCTAATCTTAATCTATATGAAGAACTATTTATAGTGAGGGGCATCTGTAGAATGCACCAGTGACCTGTATGTCTGGATTAAACTCAGAAACTTTTAATATATCATGTATGTAGTGGAAATATGTTTGTAATATTTATTTACAAGTAACATAGACATATACTTTACTTTCACTTATCTAAACAGTAATTAAAATACAGTAGACTATTGATTTGAGTTGTCCTAAAGGTCCTATATTACTCAAAATTGATTATTGTGAGTGTTTAGCCATCTTGAAATGCTGGTATCATCAGAAACGTACCTGGAGTTATGTTTTGTTTCATTCACACGTGTTTGATTACTAGGCTGTCTGAATCCCCAAAGCTCAAAACGCTCTGTTCCACCAGCTACATTTGACCTTTAGTTCAGTACAGATTTGAAATTCCAGGGCTGAATTTATCCAAATGCTTCTAGTGAAAGTGTTTGGAGTTTAAAACCACACTGGAGCACTTCCTGTATTAACACTTGACATCACAAGGTGGAACATACTACTCCTTTAATTGTTTTTGCCTTAGTATGTGTATCGTAACAGGTCGAAAAACTTAGTCAGGTTGTAAAATTTTATTGCTGCTTGAATGAAAGTGCTGTTATATAGTTACAAATGGACCCAGAGTTGTTTAATTGAGTAGTGAATGAGGCTTTGTTAAGTATTGATCTGAACTCTCGGCACCTCTGGAATTAAGTGGTCCATTTGATTGTAACCGGGTGGACTATTAGTCAGTCAATGCCTGCGTGGTCCTGCGCCCTGGCCCCCAAGCAAAATATTAACACTTTTTTGTCCATTATTTCTTTTAAAGCATGTTTGAATATATCTCTAACTGTTATTATCTTTTATTTTTTAATTTCTCCAGGCTAAAACACTTCGAAAGTTAATTCAGCAGACGTTCAAACAGGTGGCCAATCTCAATGACGAGCAGTGCATCATGCGGTTTCTGGAGATCCTGGCTCCAGTTCACCGCTTTGACAAGGAGTGCTTCAAATGTGCCCTCGGGGTAAGATTTTGTCCCATGTGTGAAATGAAACCGCTGAACTAGAGTGACGCTGCCCTCTTTTGGGCCCTGCGTGTTACTACAATTCTGTTAAACTTCAAACTGTGGTACATGTTTTTGAATATGAATGTTTTCTTCTACAGTCCAGCTGGGTGATCCAGGTGGAGTTGGCTATTGGGCCAGAGGAGGGGATCAGCTACCTCACTGATAAAGGATCCACGGTGAGGACATTGTTTTTTAATATCCTGATTTACATATTGGTGGCAGTAGGAACTATTTTGGAAATTAGAGTTGCACCAATTACACTTTTCCAGTTTTGATATTTACTCCGATACTTTGGGTTCAAGTATCTGCTGGTATCAATAGATCCAAGTGCAGAGACTGAAAAATGTATGTATTTCCTGTCAACAAAAACAAAATAAATCAAATCTGTTCTGTAGTTGTTACAGCTCAAGTTATAGAACAGCTTTGCGTAAATATAAGTTCAAACATTCTGAGACTTTCTGGACAAACTATGACAATAAATGTTCTTATTACATAAATCCATACGTCCAACCAGGCAATATTTGGACGTCAATATCGAATACAGCACATTTTTCAGTATCAGCACAGGTATATACAGTATGAGATCCCAGTATGCATCCCTATTTGAAATGATCACAATATAGAAATTGAATAGAGGATTTTTACAGAAGAATGAGACCTTAAACACATTTCTAATCCTTCTGTTCCCCCCTCCAGCCCACACATCTCGCCAACTTTAACCAGGTGCAGTCCATCCAGTACTCGAGTATGGAGGAGAAAGAGCGCAAAGGCATGATCCAGCTCAATGTGGCCGGAGCTGCAGAGGTATTGTTGTTTTCACTTTTAATTTGTTTGAAGGTCCTATATTAGGCAAAATGGATTAATGTGAGCTTTAAGCCATGTTATAATATTCTTACTTCATCAGAAACAAACCTATAGCTGTGTTTTGTCTTGTATTTCATTAGACATTTAAAAGATTTAGTGTAGTATAGATGGCATTATATGAGAAAAAAAAAATCACTTTTTTTTTCTTTGTACTGATCAATCCTGAGTTCAGATTTGATTCTGTTTGATCTCACTATAATACATCAATTCCTTGAACTCTGCTGACTTTCTTTGAATGCCCATAAAACACTCAGTCTTTCTCAGAAGTCTGAACTGTAAACCACGTTTTTACTGACAAAACAGACTTTAGACCTCTCAAAAATGACTGAAGCTTGATGACTGATGACTAGAAATGACTGAATTTGATTATTTGAACTTCACATTCACATCTTCGCACATTCTTCATACATTGTCAGTGTATTTTAAAGGTTCTATATTAAGCAAACTGGATTCTTGTGATCTTTAGGCCATGTTCCAGCATTGTTACCTCATTAAAAACATACCTGGAATTGTGTTTTGTTTCATTCACACGTTTGAGTAAACCTTTAATTTTAGTGTGTCTAAATCTCCAAAGCTTAAAATGTTCTCTTCCACCTTATGATATCATGAAGCGGTAGTTTTTCAAGTTAGCAGCCTCCTTTTATCTTTAGTTCAGTTGAGATCGGCAATTCCAGGGCTGAAATTATCCAAATAATTTTTGTAAATATGTCTCCAACCTGTAGCTCACCCATTTCTAAAGCTTGCCAAAGGATTTCAGAATTACATGTATTGTGCTGAATAAGTGGATTTATTAAATACCTTTTACCATTGTACATGTATTATTTTGATGCCTATCTTTGTGCACTAATAAATGGATGATGGTTCATGTTTATAGGCATCTAACTCTACCTCATCTAAGTCTTGCAGTGGCTCTTATATATACTCAATTTCTTGTGACCGCAAAAAACTAGTAGTGTTCTGACACTCGTTTTGTAAAAGTAGCTCACCGGAGGAAAAAGATTGGAGATCCCTGGTATAGAGTGTTTTAGCAAAGAACTCAACCAAAAATATGCAGGATTTGTGTGTTAAAAATGTGTGAATGAAACAAAACACAACTCCAGGTCTGTTTGTGATGAGGAAACATTATAGCATAGATTAGAAAACAGCGTAATATGGGCCTTGTAAGATATTGTTTTAATCATAGCATAAATACCTCAGCTCCTCCTTGCGGTGCGTAGGTAAACATACGTGCATTCCTCATATTAGTGAGAGTTTTCGTCACCTCTTTGCCAGCCTCTACAATTCATTAAAGCTTTGGTCTGACTTTGAAGCACACATGCTACACAATCATTTCCCTCTGTTTTTGGGTTAGAGTTTGAGAGTTCTTTTACTTACTTATCTTTTGCATTTTGTGGATGTCCGCAGCCTCTCACGGTGACGACAGCTTCTCTCACCACGGCCGAAAACCTGGCGGATTTGATCGATGGTTACTGCCGGCTCATATCCATGGAAACGCATTCCTTTATTGTCCGTGTTCAGAAAGGTACGACATCTATAGTGCTGGATAATATTAAAACGTCCCTTATTAAAGTGAGAACATTGAAACTAGCTAAACTTGTATGCATAATTTTTTTTTTTTTTTTTTGTCTGTTTGAGCAAGGTAAAACAAAATCAACAACACTAACAAAAAAGTAAACTAAAACAAAGATATGGACATGTACATATTTGGGACCTGGTGCTCAAAAGGAGTAGGATGAAGTTTGAAAAACAACTTATAATGTCCTACCCCAATTGTTTTATATAATCAAATGGTTTACACATTCTTTTTTTTATGCAAAATGATTATTTACCCTATAATGAAAAAAAGTTATCTGTAATAATTATAGTTTTTAATTGTTCTTATTAGATAATGCATATGGATTTAAAGGTCCTATATTACACAAAATTGACCTTGTGAGCTTTAAGCCATGTTATAATGTTGTAGCCTCCTAAAAAACATACCTATAGTTGTGTTTTGTTTCATTCACACATGTTTGAGCAACACTTTATTATTGTCTTTATCTCCAAAGTAGTTTTCAAGTTAACACATACAGTACCTTTTACCTTTAATTCAATAGAGATTGGAAATTCCAGGGCTGAAATTATCCAAATTATTCTAGTGAAGATGTATGGGATTTAAAAACACAGTGGAGCACTTCCTGTATTACCACATGACATCACAAGGTGGAACAGTTTTTATTGCACATTAACATTATAGCATACATAGTGTAATATGGACCCTTTAAAGAAAATGTGCCAGGGAAGAAATGTTAGTTTTAGGCATTTTACAGTTTGAAAAATAAGTATGTTTCAGTTTCATGGGATCAGATATCCTCCTATATGTTCATTTAGTTAAGCATTTGTTTTTCCTTGATTTGTGTTGACTTATTTTCATATTGATTTCCATTGTGTTTATCTTTTTGTCCTCTAGAGGGAGAGAGAGCTCTGCCATCGATTCCGAAGTAAGTACACCACATAAACTCCACATAGTAGTACTTATTTTTGAAATCCGCCCACGTTGTACGGGTAAAATTCCCAAACATTCTGATCCAAACTCATCTTTAGTTCACATGTTGTATTTTAAAGAAGTATCCTAGCGTTACTTCTGCTGTATTTTCAACATAAATGCCTCACACTGTCTCTGCTTGTGGTCAAATAAGGAGATAAGTTTAGGAGCCAAATATTTTCCACTTTGGGTTGGTTTAAACACTCACAGTCTCCTCCTCCTCCTCCTGTCTGTGCTGTTTTCTCTCTCTCTCTTTCTGTCCACTGTGAATGTAAAGAAACAGTGGAGCAACCCTGACACGAGCAGATACTACGGCAACAGCAGAAGGACAAATAACTTAACTTTTCCCTTACTGACTTTTCCTTTGGGATTCATTGAAAAGTGTGGGATTTTTTTTTAGCTTTTTGAATGAGCGTTTTACTAGTTGTTTCTATTATAGGTTGTCCAATAATGAGAAAAAGTTAGAAGCAGTCAGAAGTGGAGTACGAGCGATTTCAGTTTCCGGTGAGTTGCGTTTCAAATATTATCTCTTTAGTTTGTTTTTCCAGGCCACAAAATCTGCTTGCCTGTCTTCTGTCCTCTTGCTCTGACATGTGTTTCCTCTCACTGTCCCATCTGCTATTGTTGTTTACTTCCTTACCTCATCTGTCCATCCATTCACCCTCTTCTCTCTCTCTGTCGTCCGATTTGCTGAAGATTTTGTGACGTCACCGCCTCCTAAACCAACCAGGGCGCGGCGTTTCCTCCTCCCCTTTGTCTTCTGTTCAGACTCTCCTCCCAATGGTATCGTCAGGGGTTCAGCGGAGGAGCACGTGCATGGGGTTGTGATGTGGCAGATTCAAAACACTTCAAAACAAGAATGGAAAAAACAAAATGGCTCACATCGTTGAAAATATGAAATACTCTTAGTGTTTCTTTCATCAGAGTGCATAGAGATGAATTTGTAGGCAATGAAGTGTTCTAATATCATCTGCACTTCACGTTTTACAACTATTATATCAAGTTATCAACATGTCAACAAGGAGGTTGGCATTTCTTTCTTTTAGTTTTCACATGTAGGTTTAGTTATAGATTGGGATGCACCAACACAAAACTGGTATCAGACATCGGTGTGATGTCTGATACTGGATCCAGTATCGGCTTCCAAATATCGGTTAAATTGATATCCTAGTTGGACACTTAAAGGTGCGTTGTTTAACTTTTCTAGTGGAGTGTCCGTCAAATGCTTTTCTCCATGGAGATGTTATGTTTCACAGTATGGTATTTAACCTTTCTGTCTTCATGGAGACCAAACCAAACCAAGTTACAGGTCAGATCACAGACCACAGTCAGAATGCTTGTTTTTCTAAGCATTTTTGACCTATAAAACCACCTGTAATTGAATAAATGTAAGGTAGAGCTGTTTAATATTATACTATGGAACATTCCAAGAAGAGCAATGACCTATCCATAGAAACAAGCTGATGACGGACCAGAGAAGTTACACAATGAACCTTTAATGTAATGAGAATATTCACTGGACCTAGTTGGCCCAGAAAGTCTCATTATGTTTCCATTTTTATTTAATACAGAGCTGTTCTGTATTTACTTTAAGGATAAATAACAGCTCTATAGCCCATTTGGATCTTATTTTATTTTTGTTTCAATGATATAAATGCTGTTTTCATAGCATTAGGATTGTTCGCTCGACGGTAGGCGGGTACTTTTTTTATTTAACCAATCGGTGCTATTTGGTCGTGACATATGTAATGCGCCAAATCCTGTAGGAAGAAGGGCAATAATGTCTTTCCCCTTGATCAAATTCACCAAACATTCTCTTTGTTCCAGCTCTAAATCCTCGATCTCGGGAATCGTTGCCAACTCAGAATGTATGGCTTCGTCTTCATCCATCTCGACCGCTTTGTTTACTGTACAACTCTTTGCTGACTGGCCGATGCACGGTCTACAACTTCCGGGGTTCTTACGTCTAGTGAACTTCAATTACTGACTTAGTTGCTGGAGATAAATGAAATTGAGCGGAGGCACTAGGTGGTGCCAGCATCTGCACTGGAATTACTTGATATCAGTACAGCAGTAGACAAGGGGACAAACGGGTCTGTTGTTCCGGGTCCTCGGGTTTTAGAATCCCAGAATTGGACCCTCTTCCTATATAGAGTGGGGCCCATGTGAAGCTTCTTGCCCTAGGCCCCCAAATTTCTGTCGACATGCCTTGATATCAGAAATGGACAGACACTTAAAGCTATAGTATCGTAATCAGTACCAGCACTGAAAAAGCTGGACTGGAGCATCTGTTGTCATAGATGCATTTTTCTAGTGGCAAAATAAATAAAACAGCTGTGGTTGCATTTTGATTAAATCTGTGAAACTGAAATGCTTTGTTACCCAGCTGATCCCTGGTTTTGAGTTCCTTTTTAAGCACTATATTATTAATACTGAAAAAGGAAAAAAGAAAAGACTTCTCAGTATTGTACAGCTCTATTAAGACAAAGAAAAAAAATTAAGCTTAATCTGCCACATCACAACAAAGCTTAATTTAAAGTGCACTGTGTAATTTTTCTGGTGGAAGGTCAGAAGCCTTTCTGTCTGATGGGTAATGTTTCGCCTGTAATGTTCAAATAACATTAAACCAGGCCAGCTCTGTGGAGAGGTTCTATTCTATGAGTTTTTTCATAGATTTTTACTATCATTAAACATTTATACCATACTCTGCTTGTCATATATACAGTATCAGAGGTGGGGACTTGCAAGTCGTGACTTGGGTCACTATTTTTAGGACTTGAGACTTGACTTGATAAAATGGTCTAAGACTTGGGACTCGACTTGGACTTATAGGTCATTGACTTGGGACTTGATTCAGACTTGAGGCCTGTGACTTGAGAATCTGAATTATTTCTATTCTGACTGTAATGATTCACACTAAGATCTTGTCAAGACATTTAAAAAAGAAAAAATTCCATTTCGACACCTCTTATATACTCTATAAACACTCATATTTAAATATACTATGACTTTATAAGTACAATTTATCTTAAAAGTCATATAAATTGTAAAAAATCTTGATACTTTGGTTTAAAGACTTGAAATGACTTGAAGCTCAAACCAGACGACTTGGACTTGACTTGGACTTATGGGCCAGTGACTCGAGACTCGACTTGGACTTGCCTGTATTTGACTTGGGACTTGTCTCATGCTTGAGACATGCAAAGCGACAACTTGGTCCCACCTCTGCAGTATTTGCCTGGAATGTTGCAGATAGTGGACCTTCCAGCAGAAAAAGGTACATAGTGCCCCTTTAAACTGTGCTCTCAGCTACTGATAGGTTCTGTGTGTTAACTTAAACCTAACTGGATGGTTTGGCTGCAGTTAACCCTAAAAATATTATTGGAACATTAACTCGGTCGACTAAACAACAAGAAAAAGAACTGTTTATGTAATTTAAAATGTTTGCAGTACACTTACAAACAGGATGTTGATTATATTGGTCATTACCGTACACAGCTTCATTTAAAACACTAAAATGACGATGATATTTGAGACAGTGAAAAGCTTCTCACATTCACAGGTGAGACATTTCAGTTTGTGGTCATGGTATCAAACTGCATAACGCACGGCTCATCGTTGTTTAATCCTCACATACTCATCACGCAGAACACAATGCCGGATCTGTTGGACAGCTGTGATGTTGTTATGAAACCTTCACAAAGCGTTCCACACATTTTTTGTTCCCAAATGTGACACGCAGCAAACGGCTAACATAAAATTACCAAACACTTTGTGGGATTAAATAAGAAGACTTGGTTTAAAATATGGATATAACAAAGGTCGAAACTGGAGACCAATCAATAAAAGATGAAAGAAAACAAAACAATGCAATGAAAGGTTCCATGTATTTTGTGGGGATGGTCTGTTATGGGTTTCTGAGCCAATATCAGTATGAAGTCTTTCTGTTGCTGCTGAGATGATCCTGATGTAAAGGTTTGAAAATCCACAGCAAGGGTCCTATATTACACAAAATTGACTCTTATAAACTTTAAACCACATTATAATGCTGTTACCTCATAAAAACATACCTGGAGTCGTGTTTTGTTTCATTCATGTTTGGCTGTTTGTGATGAGGAAACAACATTATAACATCGATCAGAAAATGGCGTAAAGTAGTAAAGATTACAGTTGAGCTTTTAACTTAAATAAATAAATAAAATAAAAGGAAATTATCTAGGATGTAAACCACTGTGTACACATAGAGGCATATTTTATCTAATCAGTCTGTGTATCATTTGTTTTTCAAGATAAAACCAAAAAGAAGAAAATGAAAAAAACAACTATTTTCTTCATTATTTGTCTCCAAAACCAAAATGAAAAAAACGGATAATGATTTCCCGTTACTGTGACTTAAAATGCGATGCCGGACTGAACCAGGACTGAACCAGGACTAAACTAGGTTCAGGACCAGACCGGAACCAGATCGGGACTGAGATCGGGACTTAGACTGGGACCAGACAAGGACTAAAAACAGTTTAGTCCTGGTTCAGTCCTGGTTCAGTCCAGCATTGCAGTTTAAGTCACGGAAACAGGAAACGTCCGTTATCAGTTTTTTCCATTATTCATTGAAATACAAAATTGAAAACTGAAAACATGAATCATTATCAGTTTTTTCATTTTGGTTTTGGAGACCAATAATGAAGAAAATAGTTGTTTTTTCGTTTTCTTACTTTTTGGTTTTATATTGAAAAACGAATGAACGAATGATACACAGATCTTAATCATTCTTCTATTTCCATTTTCTTTTCCTGTTCAGAAACACAAATCAGATGCACTATGAGGACAGGCTGGAGCACACAGAGACTCCAGCACCTTAGAAAATAAAACCCCTGTTATTTTCATATTATTGTGGACGGATTTCTCATTTAGACCCAGAATGTCTAAAAACAATAGGGCTGTGGTTGTATTGGGACCGTGCACTGCCCAGACTGTTGTGAGGTTAAAAGGAGTCCGGAGGCACAAATATCCGAGGAGCTGTGTTTAATAATATAGGAAAAAGGAAATGGAAAGAGCAGAACTATTCAGGCCACTTTAGGGAAGCCCCACAGTCTCTCAGCGTATTTCTCATCCCAACTTGAATCATGTTCATAGTGACTGTAGTGACTCATCCTCTCTTGTGTTTTCCGTAGACATAATAATAAGAAGAACTTGTGGTATTATTTTTATCATATTTATATTTATAGCTTTAATGTGTAATAATGTATAATGTATGTCTTTATTATGACTTGAGAAGTTGTCAAGTTTTTATTATCGAATGCAAAAGGTAGATACACAATTTATTTAATTCTTTTAATGTTGTATGAATTTATGGCTGCAAAGGGGCTGTTCCATATATATTTAAATTTAGACAAGCTTTATTGATCCACAAGAAAATGTATTTGGACACAGTAGCTCACACATCACAATAATATAATAACAAAGACAGAAAATATAAACAGTAATTATACATTCTAAATAAGTAG